GGGATGGTGGGCCTGAGATACCATGGCCCGGTGGGGGGGGGATAGGTGAAACGATGCTCGCTCCTGGACCCTGGAACGCCCGACATCACGCCCGTCGGGCGCGCGGGAGAGGGGGGGCCAGGACGACCACGAGGTTCGAGGCTCGAGGTTCGAGGGTGGAGCTTCGACTTCTGTCCCCTGGTTGGGCCTCGAAGGGGTCGCCACGGCTGGATCAGCCTTTGAGGAAGACGGTTATATTGCTGGAAGGAAGGGGCTGGGAAGATACAGGGCACGACGGTGCGATAAGCCCTACCAGCTGACTGGACAACTCGGGGGATCTGATTGTTTCTCCCAGCCCCATCCTCACAACCCGATAATCGCCTCTTTGGCTGCCTGCCAAACCACCCCAACCCAACCCGAAGACCCGAACTTCGGGCTGGGGGGGGGGGGGGGGCACGGGCTTCACATGTGTCTTGTGTCCACGTTCCCCGACCGCCCCCCGCTGGGAATGGAGTCGGGTTGGGGGGTGGTTTGGCGGGCGGTGCCCCTCTGAGCCCTCACGCTCTGGCCAGGACGCTCCCCGGAAAACAAGTCCGGGGAGCGACCCTCCGACCCCCGGGGGCCCTGGCGGCCTCGCGCCAGGCCGCGGCGGCAGTCTGCGCGGCCTCCCCGGGCCCCTGCCCGGCCCCAGGGAGGGGGGGGCGTCAAGGAATGGCTCGGGGCGGCCTGCGGGCCCCCAGGCATCGAGCAGGAGATCGACCAGAGATCTGATGCACCCCAAGCTTGACATGCTCGTCGAATCGACCCCCCCAAAAAACATGTTGAAATACCCTGTGACGTACCCAACCCATTTGCATCAAGTGGCAGGAAGAATTGGCCCAAACTTGCCCGGACAATGACGGTGCAGGCGCCGTGATATGTTGCGCACGCTACATGGGCTGCGCTTACGTGGCACGCTTCACAGGACAACAACAGAAGGACGAGGAACGAGGGCCCAGGCTTGAGGAGGACATGGGGGAGGGAACGAAGCGCAGGAGAAGGACGCGTGGGGGGCCGAACCGCCAGCGCGGCAGCAGCAGAGGGAAGGTGGCAGGGAGCAGAGGACGACGGCGAAAGTAACAGGAGGAGACCGAAGAGTGCTGCTCTTGTCGGTAGTACGCTAAGGATGCGGCGCTGCCTGCGCCATGTCGCCGGGGCGTTCGCGAAAATGCTTAGCCCTGCTCGTAGCTAGTGCAAGAGGCGAACGAGGCCCAGCTCGCCTGCCAGCGTCTCTGCTTCCTTCCTGACGACCCCGGAACTCGAAACAACACCCCAGGTAACATCAAAAAGGCGTCACTCCGCTGGACCCCAGGAACGGCGAGGTCTCCTGGTGGTACGCGTCTGACGTCAGCAGCCCTCGAAAGTGGCGACAGTTTCGCGGCTCGCAGCCCCCCAGGGATGGCGAGGTCTCCTGGTGGTCCGCGTAGGACGTCACTCCGCTCGACCCCCTCGCAGCCCTCGAAAGAGGCGACAGTTTCGCGGCTCGCAGCCCCCCAGGGATGGCGAGGTCTCCTGGTGATCCGCGTAAGACGTCACTCCGCTGCACCCCCCAGCAGCCCTCGAAAGAGGCAACAATTTCGCGACTCGCAGCCCCCAAGGGATGGCGGGGTCTCCTGGTGGTCCGCGTAAGACGTCACTCCGCTGGAACCCCCCAGCAGCCCTCGAAAGAGGCGACAATTTCGCGGCTCGGAGCCCCCCAGGGATGGCGAGGTCTCGGGATGATCCGCGTAGGACGTCACTACGCTTAAGTCGGGCCTGTCTCCCTACAGGGGGATTTTGGACGAACAGAATACAAAAAAATATTCAATATATGCAAAAGATACTCAAAAAATAGACCCCTGACTCTTTTGTGACTATTTTGAATATTCCCCCTTCAGAGGGACAGGCCCGATTTAACACTACGCTGCACCCCCAGCAGCCCTCGAAAGTGGCGACAATTTCGCAGATCGCAAGGATGGCGGGGTCTCCTGGTTATCCGCGCAGGAGGTCACTCCTCTGCACCCCCCAGCAGCCCTCGAAAGTGGCAACAATTTCGCAACTCGCAGCCCCCCAAGAATGGCGAGGTTTCCTTGTGATCCGCGTAGGACGTCACTTCACTGCACCCCCAGTAGCCCTCGAAAGTGGCAACAATTTCGCAACTCGCAGCCCCCCAAGAATGGCGAGGTTTCCTTGTGATCCGCGTAGGACGTCACTTCACTGCACCCCCCAGTAGCCCTCGAAAGTGGCGACAATTTCGCAGATCGCAGCCCCCCAGGGATGGCAAGGTCTCCTGGTGGTCCGCGTAAGACGTCACTCCGCTGGACCCCCCAGCTGCCCTCGAAAGTGGCGACAGCTTCGATCGCAGCCCCCCAGGGATGGCGAGGTCTCCTGGTGGTCCGCGTAAGACGTCACTCCGCTGCACCCCCCAGCAGCCTTCGAAAATGACTACAGTTTCGCAGATCGCAGCCCCCCAGGGATGGCGAGGTTTTCGGGTGATCCGCGCAGGAGGTCACTCCTCTGCACCCCCGAGCAGCCCTCGAAAGTGGCAACAATTTCGCGACTCGCAGCCCCCCAGAGATGGCGAGGTCTCCTGGTGATCCGCGTAAGACGTCACTACGCTGCGCCCCCCAGCAGCCCTCGAAAGAGGCAACAATTTCGCGACTCGCAGCCCCCAAGGGATGGCGAGGTCTCACTGGAGTCTGGGCAAGACGTCACTCCGCTGGAACCCCCCAGCAGCCCTCGAAAGAGGCGACAGTTTCGCGGCTCGCAGCCCCCCAGGGATGGCGAGGTCTCCTGGTGGTCCGCGTCAGACGTTACCCCGCTGCACCCCCCAGCAGCCCTCGAAAGTGGCGATGTTTTCGCAGATCGCAGCCCCCCAGAGATGGCGAGGTCTCCTGGTGATCCGCGTAAGACGTCACTCCGCTGGACCCCCCAGTAGCCCTCGAAAGTGGCGACAAGTTCGCAGATCGCAATCCCCCCAGTGATGGCGAGGTCTCATTGGTCTGGGTAAGACGTCACTCCGCTGGACCCCCCAGCTGCCCTCGAAAGTGGCGACAGCTTCGCAGATCGCAGCCCCACAGAGATGACCAGGTAGGCGGCAAGCTCGCTGGCACGAAAGAAACGAGATAAGAGGCAGCAGGGAAGAGAGAAGAGGGAGGGCGGGAAGGAGACGCGCGCGCAGTGCTCTATTGAAAACGAGTGCCCGACGCAGGAGGGTCGGGAATGCCCGCAGATCGACGAGCATGTGACGTATTTTACGAGGGCTCGGCGAGAGCTTCAAGTGTGGGCTGGGTCAATTCTGTAGTCGACCCCCTACTCTTGGAGGCCTGGAAATGGGCACCAAGACCAACACAGGGGATTGCCTCCACAGGGGGAGGATGATCCTAGATTTCGGTGCTGGTGATAATAGCTCGGTCACCCTGGAAGCCAGAACATTACCACCATCACCGAGATCGGGATCTTCTTCCCTCGGCGGAGGCACGCCGCCGATATTGGTGTTGATGCCAACCTCTGGACCTGCGATGCTCGGAGGGATGGGGTCTCCCAGACCTCTGGGGACCCACGCCGAGAAGAAAGCACGACGCCGGATGCCTGGGGAGGGGGGGGGGGGGGCCGCACGCCGCGGAACCCGAGGCGCAAGTGCGCGGCCCGAGGCAGGGGGGGGGCCGGGGGGGCGCATCGAGAGGAGAGGATTTTAAGTCGGGCCTGTCCTCCTACAGGGGGATTGTGGAGGAAGAATCTTCAAAAATAATCAAAAAATACCCCAGAATAGCCAAAAGATGCTCAAAAAATGGTCCCCATACTATATTTGATCATTTTTTTATACTCCTCCTGTAGAGGGACAGGCCCGACTTAAGAAGAGGAGGGCCACGAGATCTGCGTGATTTCGCGGCCCTGGCTATGGCACCGACACGCCCCTGCCGAGGCATCCAACGTCGCTTTCGCAGCGCAGCTCCCCAAAGGTCTGGACCTCGTCCCGGGGGCCGGCTTCTCATCCCCCGTCATGGTTTGACGGCCCCAGGGCCCAGCAACGGCCCCTACAGGCCGACAATGACAGAACGCCTCCCGCCAAGATTTTGTTCGCAACGCGAGCACGTCATGGTGCCAGATGTCATGCGACCCCCGGGCCCATCCCAGGGCGCGTTCTGGGCATAACCTCAAAGGAAATATGGTCGCGGCGACGAGGAGGCCCCCAGAAGCCCAGAAAGGCTTCGAAAACCTCGACGATTCTCGACCTCGAATCTACAAAAGCTGGATGTCTTGGAAATCGGCCCCTCACTCGAGGGTCGAGGATCGAGGATCGAGGAGAAGCAGCAGCTCAAATGCTACAGAAATATTGCGAAAAGTCCGAGCAACTCCATACGGAGGAGCACGAGGAGCAGTCGTGAATCGAGGATCGAGAAGAAGGTGGAGGAGGAGGAGGAGGAGGAGGAGGAGGAGGAAGAAGAGGAGGAGAAGGAGGAAAAAGAGGAGGAGGAGAAAGAGGAGGAGGAGGAGGAAGGATCCAGGCTGCCGCTATTCTGGCCCAGCAGGCTCCAGATCTGGCTAAAAGTACTACTACGTTTCAGGTAACACGCGCAGACCTCATGGCAGTGACCATGAAGTACTACACCGCGGAGGTGAACAACAGCACCAAAGGCGCTACCCTGTAGATGGAGGTTGGCATCTACGACGCGGACGCTACGATCCAGATGCTGACGGAAACCACGCCGAAGGACAACGACAGCAAGTGACTCCAAGTTCTCGTCAAAATACACTCCCAGCAGTACGACCGCTACAACAACAAAGACCTGATCTACTTCAAGATCGCCGACATCAACAATTCCGTCAAACACTTCGTCAAGAGGTACCAGCATAATCTGCTCAAGTTCTACAAGGACTAGAGTGACTACATTGCGCATACCGACACCATAAACCGTCGGGCAGATTCAGTACATGACGAGGCGAATGAGTTGGCACCACTCAACCCCAGCTTCTTCGTCCCGCAAAACTGGTACATCTACATGACCGTGGAGAACTACCCGAAGGTGGCCAACGTCGGGTTATACTACGAGCCCACTGGGGGGGGCGAGTACATCGAGATACCCACCACGGACAAAATGCACGTGAGCCTACTCAAGGACCACGTGCAGGCCCAGCTCTTCAAGGACCAGGTTGTTGTGCGCGGCTACTGCGCGCAGCCTGGCATGGTACCTACCACGGCCAACCTGCACTACACGCCTACGCCGTACAAGACCAAAGAGGTGTACGAGACCCACTACTACATCCGCATCCATTTCGGCAAGTACATCGCGAGGAGTACACGTGGACGGACGACTACAACGACGACAACTTCAAGCTCGTGCGTTTCATAGATCATAACATTCAGGACCACGCCATCTACGTCAAGGACTAGTGCTCCCATTCATTCGAGGGCAAGGACGTCAAGTACGCCAACGTTATGTACTACCCTTTCAACGAGGGCGACGACCAGGACAAGGAGTATAACAACGGAGGCTCGGCCATCGGCAACGCCAAGAACGACGGGGACAACGACAACGTCATCCACCTGGGAAAGCGCCAGCGGGCGACCTAGGTAAGGCCGCTGTACTACAGCGAGGGTTGGTACTACATCTCCTAGTCTACTAGAGCATGTACTTCCTCATCATCACCCCCTCCCCTCTCCATCCATCACTACCAAGGCAGCATGAGGCAATACGTGCACTAACTGTACGTGTACTGGATACCACGGGACAACCGCTGCATGCTTTCATTGCTACAGCACTGATACCCACCTACCAGCCTACGTATACCGCTTTATCAGGTCAGCAAATACCGAAAATAAATTCATAAGTGCGAGCGCTACTGGCCCCCTACAAGATGTCGGCTCAAAACTGCCACGTACATACCAATGCATAACAGCATGGCCGGTGTGAACTACCAACGCATCGACGATACTCCAGGTGAGTACCTACTAGCTGAAGCAAGCATCTGGCTCCGCGACTTCCCGTACCAGAACAAGTGGATACAGCCGGCAACAAAGGCTGCCCACGGAGAAGACGACAGGCAGTATTTCAAGATCCGATACATCAAGACGGCTTTACGCCACCACTTCAAGGACCTGCACAACGAGCACATCAATGCATACAAGACCAAATGTTCGGAAGGAACCTCCGAGGATACTATTGTCGACCGCCTTGAAGAACCACTCTACGAGCGAGAACCACCACTGCCCCTGCAAAATGGCGAGTGGCATGGTACGAAAAACGGCATCCTGGCGGAGAGTTCGCCATACGACTCCGCAGTGAGGTTCAATTACTATATGCCATGGGACGCAGAGAATGAGGACTACGTCACGCTCGAGATCGACGCAGGCCAAGCTACTATCGGAGGGCTCAAGAAGACGATCGCTGCCACACTAACCCTGCAACAGTACGATATCTAACCAGACCAATACACGAACATGAAGATATATCACGTGAACTACAGCTACGACGAGCTGGACCTAGCCAACGAAGTCAAGCTCCATGACCAGCCCACTATTCCGAGCGGTACCAAATACTGCGTGCACTTGTTGGACTCCCAGCGCAAAGGAGCCACACGGGACTTCTACATCAACTACGGCGTCGGCCGGGCCCCGCGCGCGGGGACCAGCGCGCGCGCGCCTGGGTGGACTGCGGACAGCCGATGCTGCTGCAAGAGGGAGGATCCAGGCTCCAGGATCGAGGAGGAAGAGGAGGAGAATCGAGACTCGAGGAGGAAGAAGGGGAAGAGGAGGAGGAACGCGCACGGACGCGCGCGCGGGCGGGAGCATGGGGACGCGCGAGCGCGAGCGAGCTACTCCCAGGCGAGCTCCGGCTCCGGGCCCTGGGCAGCCATGAGCGAGGCCCAACGGCGCTTCAGATTGCGCCTCGGGAGAAACTGCTGCTGCTCCTGCTCCGCCTGCTCTCCTCCTCCTGCTACTGCTGCTCCTCATCCTCCTCATAAACCCTCATGACTCTAACCATGACCATGAGCATCACTATCATCAGCATCATCATCACCATCACCATCACCATCACCATCACAATCACCATCATCATCATCATCATCATCATCATCATCACCACCACCACCATCATCATCATCATCATCATCAACATCATCGTCTTCCTCTTCCTCATCCTCATCAGCAGCAGCAGCATCATCAACAACAGCATCATCAGCAGCAGCAGCATCTTCTTCCCAGCTTCATCATCATCAGCATCGTCATCATCATCACCATCATCATCGTCACCATCATCAGCAGCAGCATCATCAACAGCATCATCATCAGCATTATCATCAGCAGCAGCAACATCATCACCGTCGTCATCATCATCATCATCATCATCATCATCATCATCATCATCATCATCATCACCAGCTTCATCGTCATCATCATCATCACCACCACCATCATCATCATCATCGTCATCATCATCATGTTCCTGCTCCTGCTCCTGCTCCTGCTCCTGCTCCTGCTCCTCCTCCTCCTCCTCGTCCAACTCTCCTCCTCCTCCTCCTCCTCTTCCTTCTCCTCCTCCTCCACCCCTTCGTTACAAATACCTCCCTCCTGTCGCACCCCCAGAGGTGTCGGTAGGGCGGGCCGGGCGTTTCGCCTGAGACCTCCTCACCACTTATAACCTTGACACTTGAAATTTGCAACAGGTTCAGAGATGGAGGGCGGGCCCATTTCAAAATGTGGCTCTCGCCATAGCGCCGGGCAGACTTGTCAAAACATACTTCTCACCTGAGAGTGAGCACAAGTCCGCACGCGAACAAGCGCGTGATATACCCACTAGCGGTTTTCCCTTTGCAGTACGCAAATGCTACGCCTGCTACATCGCGATGTTCATGGGGCTCTGAAAAGAAATAAGGCCGAGGTTACAAAAATATATCGTTCCACCTGAGAGCGACCACAAATCTGGACTTGAACGGGCCCGCGATATAACCCGTGGCGGTTCCCCCTTGGGGTGCGCAAGTGCTAAGCCAGCTACATCGCGATGATCATGGGGCTATGACAGAGAGGAGCCAGGGGTGCCAAAACAAGAGCTCTAACTGAGAGCGAGCACAAAGTTGGACGCGAACGGGCCCTTGGCGTACCCTCTGGCTGCTTCCCCTTAGGGTACTTCATCGGCATGCCGGCTACATCGCGGTGATCATGGGTGAGCGAGCCTGAGTGTGTGAGCGTGTGAGTGGGTGAGTGTGTGCGCGGATCTGAGCGTGAGTGAGTCTGAAGTCTGAGTGAGTCTGAATGTGAGTAGGTCTGAGTGCGAGCGAGTCTGAGTGTGAATGAATATGAGCGTGAGTGGTCTGTGTACGAACCTGGATCTGAATAAGCTGAATATGAGCCGACATGGGCGTGTGAGTCAGCATGACTGCGTGTGGGTCTGAGTGTGCGGATCCGAGTGCGGGGGAGGGCGACCAGGAGGTGGGGAGGCGGAGGCCTGACACGAATCGTAAGACTCCGATAATCTGGATAGGGGACGCACAGTACAACAGACGAAACACACACACACACAACGATGAGACGAATGACAGCCCGAGAAAGGAAAGACACGGCCGAAACTGCACGTGGCGGTAACTAACGAGAGCGATGGTAAGAGAAGCTTCTGGTTAAAGGAAGACCATGAAGAAGAAAAACAAAACAACAAAACACGACGAACAGTCCTTACACACACACACACACACACACACACACACACACACACACACACACGCACACACACACGCACAAAGCCAGCAAACAAACAAACAAACAAACAAAAACAAAAACAAATCCGAGGCCCGGACGCTGGTGTCGGCCGCCTGCCCTTCAAGGAAAACGCGTCCGGCGCCTTCCGCGCGCGGTTCTCGGCCTGTCCCGGGAACCTCCCGCGCGCGGGGGGGGCACCCCGCCCTCCGCCCCTCCCCTCCCTCTCTCCCTGCGTTCCTCCCTGCCCCCCCCGTCTCTCCGTTCCTCCCTCCCTTCCTCCACGCCTCCCTCCCTCCCTCCCTCTCCTTCTCTCTCTCTCTCTCTCTTTCTCCCTCTCTCTCACTCTCTCCCTCCCCCCCTCCCTCCCTCTCTCCCACTCCCCTCCCCTCCTCTCCTCGGGCAGGCCGATGAGGAGAGCCAGGAAGTGGGGAGGTTATGAAGGAGCAGAACGAAACTGCATATCTATATAGTCTGTCGGAGGTCCGCGCGGACTGCTTGGGTCAGCGCTGGGCTCACCTCCCCCCGGCGCGCTCACGCAGCGCGCCTACCCATCACGGGCTCGAGGTCGTCAGCTGTTGTGCTGCGCGGGGGCGGCACCGCTTAAGAAAAAGCGGCAGAAAAACTTGTTTGCGTGGCTTTTGTAAACACATATATATATATATATATACATATATACACGTGTATGTACTTCTTATTCCATACCAAGCCATTAAATTCATAAACATTGATCCTCTAAGCTCCGCGCGGATTCCTTGGGTCGGCGCCGGAGGCGCCGCCAGAAGGGGAGGCAGCGCCCATCCAAGAGACCCGCGCGGGATCCCGAAAGCGCACTCTCATGCCAGTTCCCTTCCTCCGGGAGGAGCGCACCACGGCCCGAGGCAAGCGCGCGGATGGGAAAGGGAGCCGGGGGACACGCTGCGAAGAACCCGAGGGGAGCATGCAATCTGGGATCTTTCATGGCCCTGGCCACGGTAGCGAAATATGCACGCACACACACACACACAAACACAGAAACACACACACAGAAACAAAAACAAAAAAAAACACTCTCACACACAGACATACTACACCTTTTCCTCCAACGGCGAGGTGGCGGCCCCGTCGCGACACGCTGAGCCGGGACACAATCAGGCGAATTCCACCTGGCGTAGCAGGTAAATGGACTGGACGTGGCAGTCGCGCGCAAAAAAAAGAGCTGCGCAACGAGAAAGAACAAAAACAAAACAAAAAACGCACACACGCACGCTGTTCCTCCAGCGGGCGAGGTGACAGCACCGTCGCGAAGCGCTGAGCCGGCCCTCGCTTAGGTACAAATAAAAAACGCCGAGGCGCGCATGAACGCGGAAGGTGCCGGAGACGGCCATGCAATGGCAAGAGGAAAGCCGAGCCACCATGCGGGCTGGCAGCAAGGGCAGAAGAGGCAGCGTGCAGTGAAGGTATGGAGGCCGGCCTCAGCACTTAGGCGCGGCGTCTCCAGAAAAACTGGCGTGACAACTGCAGTGTGGCGCCAACTGAGTGAAGCGGGAGACCAAGCGGCAAAGCAGGAGTGGGTGGAGGGCGAAACCACCAGCCAGCTTGCCGAAGCAGATTGCGGTAGTCGTGTCATCACGATGTGTGCCCGACACACACACACACACACACACGCGCACACACACGCACACGCACACGCAGACACTTGTTTGGCGTCGCGGCCACGCGCACGGCAACGCGGCGGAGCCAAGATAGCGGGAGCAACAAGAGAGTTGTGCGGCGGCGGCCAGGCTCACAGGCACACGCGCACACACACACACACACACACACACACACACACACACACACACACGCGCACACACACACACACACACACGCACGCACGCACGCACGCACGCACGCACGCACGC